GAAAGAATAAATTTCTGTTAAGTACACAGTAATGTATTATATAGTAGCTCTAAGAAGCAGTATAATAGTTGGCGCTTGAGAGTTCACAATCATGCTCCTGTTTAAGAAAAAAGTTTCTGCAGGGCTGGAGTTGTGATTCAGCGGTAGAGTGCTCACCTAGCACGTACGAGGCCCTGGGTTCAATACTCAGCAACACATAAAAATAAATAAATAAAAACAAAGGTATGTGTACAACTAGAAGAAATAAATATTTTAAAAAGCGGTAGCGCGCTCCCCTGGCATGCGTGCAGCCCGGGTTTGATCCTCAGCACCACATACAAACAAAGATGTTGTGTCTGCCGAAACTAAAAAAAAATAATAATAATAAATGTTTTTTTTAAAAAAATTCTCTCTCTCTCTCTTAAAAAAAAAAAAGAAAAAAAAGTTTCTTCAGAGAAAGAATTTGTATCTGTAAAGGTTCCCAAATACCCAAGGTCCACAATTTGGACTCACTATAGAGGCCCTTTCAATTAAATCTCATAGTTTATTGATCTTAGTGACTTCCAATTCTAGGTGAGGGATAAAACTGCTCTCAGTGTCAAACAAAATGTGTGAACTTTAGTTGACAATTTAAGCTATAGAAAATAAGTTTGAAAGGAATTTAGAATTAGATATGTCAATTTTTAAAGTTGAAACTGTTAAAACTGAGGGATCTCTGAATTGAAAGGGTTTAAAAGCTATTCTGGATGTCAGCAACAAAGAGATGGGTCCTGGGACAAGTTCCCATAGCTCTCTGCAGCAAGGTTAGATGACTCTTGGAAACATGTCCCCCAGATTTATAAGCCAAGAGCATTTTCATAATGCAAATATGGGGAAGGAAAGCACAGATTGTTTTAATTAAACCTACATTAACTATAGATAACAGGGGAGGAATAAGGGGAAGCGGGGAATGTATTTGGTAAGACAGTTTATAAGGAGAAGCTCTTGTTGCTTCTGGACTGGCTTTGGTTTTAAGCAGGATGAAGTGGTGACTGCTGGTCTGACCACTTCTGGCTTGAATCAAAGTTTCAATACACATTCAGGAATGTGGGTAAGTTTTTGTTGGTTGGGTCTACAGTTGATAACTGATTAACTTTCTCCTCTCTTCCATCCTCTGGCTCTTAAATTTAACACCTCAGAAGTTTTATCAATACCCTGCTGAGGGCATGAAAAAAGTTATAGAACCTGTGAGGCTGTAATTACCAATATACTCTTGATGTAATGATTCTAGCCACCACCCACTATGCTCATGCCAAACATGTTAGTGAAGAACCAGAATATTTCTCTCTCTCTCTCTCTCTCTGTTTAGGTTTATTGAGATATATCTGACAAATAAAAATGCTTATATTTAAAGTGTACAACTTGATTTGAGGGTGGGTAATGTGGATTACCTCAGAGCCTCCCATATGCTTGGGAAGCACTATACCACTGAGCTACATAACCAGGTAAGTTGGCTGACCTTGAACTTGTGATCTTCCTGATGGTCTCAAGCAGCTGAGATTTCAGGTGTGTGCCACCAGTCCAGTACAACTTGATAGTTAAATATGCATTTTACATTGCATAGTAACCACTATAATCAAGCTAATTAACATAGCCACCATTCCTCTTAATTACCTTTTTCCCCTTTTTTTGGTAAGGTAAGAACACAGCAAATTTTCAGTACAAAAAATAGTAGCTGGGTGCGGTCACATACTCCTGTAATCTCAGCAGTTTGGGAGGCTGAGGCAAGAGGATTGTGAGTTCTATGCCACCCTCAGAGACTTAGTGAGGTGCTAAGCAACTAAGTGAGAGCCTGTCTCTAAATACTAAATAGGGATGAGGACCTGGCTAAGTGGTCAAGTGCCCCTAACTTCAATCCCCCAAAATAGTATTATTAACTATAGTCACTTCTGTACATTAGATCTCCATTTATTTATCTCCCATAGCTGAAACTCTGTATCCTTTGACCACCATCTCATGTTTCCCCCTTCACCCAATCCCCAGCAACCATTATTCTCTTCTCTGCCAGTATATTTCTTTTTTTTTTCTTTGTAGTTGGTCACAACACCTTAATTTTATTTATTTTATGTGGTGCTGAGGATTGAACCCAGGGCCTCACACATGCTAGGTGAGGGCTTTATGACTAAGCAACAACCCCAACCCTCTTCTAGTATATTTCTTAATGTGCTACTGGAGCCATCACAAATATGACCCCAAACCATAATTTCTGTAGCTACCCTATGAAGCAAAAAGATATTGAAAATTATCAATATATTATGCTTAGGTCAGACATAATGCGTGTAGCACTTGCATTCTGGGATCCATTAAAAATAATTGTTCAGGGCTAGGGTTATGGCTCAGTGACAGAGAGGTGCCTAGCACATGTGAGGCCCTGGGTTCTATCCTCAGCACCACATAAAAATCAAATAAAGATATTGTGTCCAACTACAACTAAAACATAAAATAAAAAAATAACTGTTCAGTAAATTTTGTATTTAACATCATCTACCTATAAGGGTATTTTTTTTTTTAAAGAGAGAGAGAGAGACAGAGAGAGAAAATTTTTTTTTAATATTTATTTTTTAGTTCTCGGCGGACACAACATCTTTGTTTTGTACGTGGTGCTGAGGATACAACCAGGCCCGCACGCATGCCAGGCGAGTGCGCTACCCCTTGAACCACATCCCCAGCCCTACCTATAAGGGTATTACAATTAAATCGCAATGTGTTGAGAGCCACAGTTTAGTCGGAATGACGCCTGGCATTTTGCTAGAGGGAATGGTTGAAAGGTGACCCTGCTCTGGGATTAGGGCGGATCCTGCTGCCTCAGTTGCCGATACTTTGGAGTTCCCGGTGAGTTCTCGTGGGGGTTCCAGAAGAATTGACGCACCAAGCCCGGTGGAGGGAGTGTGTTCCCGGGAAGCGTGCATAGAGTGCCGGTGAGAGTTTGGGAATAGAGTTGCTGTTTGAACCTACAAGGCTTTGTGGGGCTCGGTTATTTTGTGCCTAGCCAGACTGCGGCAGCAATGTGATTGTTTCATTGCAGAATGGTCTTTATTTTGTATAACAATGTGAGACAGGTGAAATTTTATTTCAAAACAAAAATAATTCCCCGATCACCTCACCCACCTGCCCAGTTCTGCTGGGTTGAAAGTTCCAGATCTGCTGTGAGGCCTTCTGTTGTCAGACCACCTGGTGTCCTTCCTGTGAAGCGCAGCCACAACCTGAATTGTGAGCCTAGAGCTCAGGATCCCACCCAGCCATCTCCACCAGCCTCAAAGAAAGGCATCTGGTGCACATGGAGCTGGCAGGGCCCTTAGCCAGGGAGCAAGGACAAGGCTCAGTTCTCAGCTTGAATGTGATACCAGGAGGAGTAGCTGGCTTCCTCTTCCCTCCCCAGGGGTCTGATTCTCACTCACTGTCCACCTTCTGTCCATGGGGCTGGGGCTCCTGTCCACCCTGGTCCCAGGTAAATATGAATGGAGACTGGTGTGAGAACCTGTCCTCATCCTTACCCCATCCTGGGCCTCATGACGGTGCTACCTAAGAAAGTCTTCCCCCCACCCCCAATAGCCTGGTTAGTGGTCAGCAAATTGGAGGAGGATCCTACAGGAGTCTTTAAATGTGAGATAAAATGTCTTGGTTGTACCTGTTTGTGGTTTAGCTTTGTATTTAAGCAAACAAACAAACAAACAAAAAGGAAATAAACTTGAAAATTATTTGTCATCATAAAAATGAAACAAAAATTAAAATATTTATTGCCAGGCAAGGCCAAAACAAAACAAAACAAAATAATAATAATGTTTCCTAAATAGCTATCTTTTGGCTAAAAATACAAAACCCAAACCAAAAAACCTCCTCCAACATTACAGATAACATACTGTCAAGTTTTAAAGTTAAATTTGGGCTTATGAAAGAAAGACGACTTGACACCCTTAGGGGGTATTTGTTCTTGAAATTAAGTTTCATTCTTTTATGAAGTAATGAAATACAGCCCATGTAAATGTAGGAAAAGAACTGTCAGAAACAAAATTTTAATTTTATACCATGGTAACATGAATCTTAACTTTATTTCAGCACAAAGAACCACAAACCATCTGTATTGTCTTAATAATTGTTTAGAAGCTTAGACATACCACTTGACCTTTGATTTTGATAGGTTTCAGTGTCACCAGGAAATACAGAGACTCAGAAAGAGCCATTATTACATCACTGAGTGGCTTAGACAATCTTGTCATTAACAACTCTTGCCCATTTTCAAAGTCACCAGGAAACATTTCTGGGCTATTTTGTTTCCTAGTTTCGTTTTTATCTTGAAAACAGAATCTTTGCTTTCTTTGAACGTCCAACATTGGATTGATTGTTTTCTTTCAACTGAGTGTAAAATCCAATATTCCCATGATGTGTATTTGGGTTTTGGATCCATGACCTAATTTGAGGATGGCGTTCAGGCTCCTATTTCACCCACACGGAAAACCTGTCTGACAGGAAGCTGTGATGGTGCCACCATCCTCATGTAAACATCCCCAGCGCTTTGATTCTATTTTGGACAGTTGTTATTTTCCTTCTCGGTCCCGCCGGAATGTTGGCTACCACCCTTCTGCACCGGCTCCGCGTGCCTGTGGGCCTTAATGAGCTTCCCAAGCCCTAAAAGCCGCAGGAGCGGGGTGTGCGCGCAGCCTAGAGGTCTGCAGGTGAGCGAGCGCGCGGCTCCGGGGAGAGGTCGCACGTGGGCGGGCATCATGGGTCCAGCGCTCCAGAGCCGCTCCGCTCTCCAGCTGCCCGGAGGCCGGACCCGCGGAGGCGCCTAGGAGACCGGCGGCGGCGCGGACAGCCCGGCGGGGCGGGGCTGGGCGGGCCCGGAGGCGCCGCGGCAGGGCGGGCCGGGGCGGGGCCGGCCGGGGGTGGGCGGGCTCTCCGACGTCGCGGTCCCCGGCCCCTCCGCTAGTAGCTGTCTGGAGGTCTCACCATGCTGTGGCGTTGCGCTGTGTTGGCGGGGACGCAGCTGATCCGGAGCGGGAGCGGCTCTGCAGGGCGGCGCGGCGGGGCGGCGGGAGCTCACAGAGCTGCAGGAACTGCGGCCTCTGGGTATGCGGCTCGCCTGCAGGACAGGCCCTGCGGGCGCCGAGGCCTCGCGGGGACTTGGACGAAGCGCGCCGGGTGGGCGAGTGGGGCCGCCGCTTGGGCGCTGAGCCCTACCCAGCGGAGGCCCAGGACGCCAGGGGAGCGTGGTGCCCTCAGCGGTTGTGTGGATTTAAGGATCCCCGGATGCACAGGTTGAAAATATTCGAGTCGCACTGGCTTGGACCACCCCGCTGTGGGTTACTAGATAACAAATACAAGACGCCTTAATGATTTGCAGTTTCACATAAACAGCGAGTGAATCTTAGTTCAGAAGTATGTCCTAAATATGGCCCTGGACGTACTGAAAACGAAGGGTATTTATTGTTTTAATTTAATCGGTCTCCCTTTGTTAAACCTGGCCAACCTTACCGCAGGAAGTGAAGGTGAGGATCCTACTAAATGGCCAAGGCTTTGAGGATGGGGACTGTGACATTCACGTAGATGTTGCCTCTGGAAACAGCGGCAGTGTTTCCATCCTCTTCCCAAAATTTGAATACCCACGGCATCCGGATTGGCAGCTGAGACCCACTGACGGCCCTGGTTGATGTTGAACCCGCCCACGCCACAGGTGTCTGTTCTGCCAGCTGCTACCTCGGGGCCTGCCGGGGCCCATGTTCCTTGGGTCTTGTTGCCTTTCCTTATCTAAATAATCTAGGAACTAGTTTTGCAAGATTCTAGGAACTCTAGATTAACTTTACAGAACAAGCCACGGAGCCCATCTTGAAAGCGCCAATCACTATTTGATTGACAGGTCCTTGAAGCCCAATGGTGTTTCCCTAGTAAGTGTATCTATCTGGGGGTATGTAGCACTTTGCTACTTACCGCTGATAAGATGCTTTATCAGATTAGTAGGCGTTGTATCAATGCTGAAGTGAAATTACTGTGCAGTTACCTTCTGCGTGAATGCCCCTTTCCTTAAAAGCTGATTTAGCTTTGAGGAAGCTCAAGTAGAAATTGAAGGGGGAAGGGTGCCTTCCAGAAATTTGACAGGGAAGAGGGTGATATCTTAAGAGTACACCTATATCTCTCACTACCCAAGAAAACATTCTCTTAGGAAAGTTCTACTGGAACTCCTACTTCAGTAGTAAATGCTGTAGTAGATGGTTTGGGAATGACAGTTCAGTGCTGGACTTGAGATGAAAGGGACTTGTTTTCTTAGTTGAAAAGCCAAATAAAACTTCAGATTTATCCTATTTAGAGTTCCTTTGGTCCAGGCCAGCACTGCCTAACCTTTTCTGTTTAGTCTTTACCAACTCAGTCCCAGTTTTTTCTCAAAGCTGCCTTCTCCTCCTTAGTTATCCAAGGATAACATGTATTGGAAAAAAGCCATTTAAAATGGATTCATCTAAAACAGGACTAAAATTTCATGCTATACAATTCTTAAAAAAAAAAAAAAAAAAAAAAAAGCTTTGCACATCCTAGGGACTCGGGAGGCTGAGGCAGGCGGATCACAACTTGGAGGCCAGCCTTAGCAACTTAGTGAGGAAGTAAGCAACTTAGGAGACCCTGTCTCGAAATAAAAAATAAAGCTGCTGGAGTTGTAGCTTAGCGGTAGAGTGCTTGCCTAGTACACATGAGGCACTGGGTTCAATTCTCAGCACCACATATAAATAAGTAAATAAAAAAGTCTAGGGATGTGGCTTAGGGGTTAAGTTCCCCTGGGTTCAATCCCCAGTACCAAAATGAAAACAAAAAAACAAAAGCAAGCTTTAGAATCTTTGAAATATGACATTCACCTAACAACTAAAAATAGTTGAAAGTGACATTTTTTTTTATTTTAAATGCACTTATGAAGAATGGAGCATTGATTTGGAAGGGAGCATTTTTTCTTATATCAGAATTTGAATTTTGCCATATAATCATAAGGAAAACATTTAAAAAAATATTTGAACTTTCAGTTCTTTGTGCTATTCTTTTTTTTCCAAGACAGATTTGCTCAGGCTGGCCTGGAACTCGAGGTCTTCCTGTTTCAGTAGTTGGAATTACAAATCTATGCTACCATACCCAGCTTGTCCTACTTTATTACTCCTAAGATATTAAAATAATTCTCTTAGAAAACATCTGTTGTCTCAATTCTTTTTAAAGTTTAGTGATTTCACTTTGCAATTAGTTTGTCTCATGATGTCTGATTTGCTTCTACAGTGCAATAGGGCATGGCTGAACAAAATAGATGAGTGGATAAGGGAAAGAAAGGTTGTAGGGCTAAGAAGAGAGATATATATGATGATGTTTAACTGGTTTGTTTTTTAGTGACTATTTTCCTGTTTCATGGATGCCTCCTTTTACAAGCTCCCAACAGCTGTGGCTAATAAATACTGACATAATCAGGAATTAATAATAGTAATATCAAATGTTTTCAAACTTTACTGTGTGGAAGGCGCAGTTCTGTTTTCTGCAGATAAATTTATTTAATCTTCACAAAACCCTTTGAGGTGAGAGTGATTCTTGTTCATTGTATTTTGTGGATTGGAAAACATAGGAGCTACAGACCCTCCTGGTTAGGGTACCTTATTTTCCTTAAAATCCTTAAATCTTTGTGTGTTCATTGCCACACAGAGTACAATTTCTGCCTATTTTAAAAAAATGAAAACCATATATTTTAACCCATAGTCAGGCTATCAATAGGACAGAATGTTTGAAATCTGGTGGTTATGGATTTATTTATTTATGAGAAAGATTATGCTGAACTTTAAACACAGGGAATGTGATTTTATCAAAGGGAATAAGGACCATAGTTAAGAACACGTGTCCTTTTGCTTTTAGTAACCTAATGTTTTTTAAATTGATATTTACACTGATAAGTGAAACTTTTTTTTTCTATTTTATATATTTGAATGTCTATATGGAACTTGTGATAGATTATCATTTAATTAACTACACTGCCTTTTAAAATTCCTTTTAGGATGGGGAACCATGCATCATCATCTTTGGGGAAGTCAGAAACTACTCCTGTGAACCAAATCCAAGTGAGTGATGTGGGAGGTACAGGAAAATTATTTTCCTCTTCAGAAGAAAGAATTGTCTTATCCATTTGTTGCCAGCTGGCTGAGCTGGCAAGATGAGCTGAGTTCAAAGGAGCTGGCTGTATCAATAACTAAGAAAACAGTGAAGAAACCATGCAGCACATGAACATGAGTTTCTATGGTTGAGAGCAGGATGGCTTGGTGACCCCAAGGGTCAGCTCCATGCTGGGCAGCGCTAGAAAGAGCAAGAGAGTGAGCACACCCGAAACTCCCCTATTTATTGGGGAGAAGACATTCGATAGAATATTTCACCCAAATAAGACATATATAATTGGTGATGTCTTGTATCAGCAGATTGACATCTTGGCAAGTCACACCCATCTCAGTTGCTAGTAGGATCACAGGCAGAGAGAGAGGAAGACACATTTGCCTCACACAGCCCAATCAGTGTCCAACACCAGACTAGTCCCCTCATACACTCAAATGCGCATACCTCACATAGCCCCTGGCTGGCTCCCTCTGGACACCCATTTAATATGCTTATTCACTGTCCAGATGTGACAAGTTCAGCAAGCGAATTCCTAAACAAATTTTTATTTTGAAATCTGTTATCATAATTCACATGGCAAAGAAGTCCTACATCATTTTGGTAGTCAGAATTTATAAGATTTATTTATTTTGGTACCACGCATTGAACCTAGAGGTGCTTAACCATTAAGCCACATCCCTAGCCATTTTTTATTTAGAGACAGGGTCTCACTAAGTTGCTGAGGCTGGCTTTGAACTTGTGATCCTCTTGCCTCAGACTCCTTCCCAGGTTGCTGGGATTACAGGCATGTGCCACTGTACCTGGCTGAGATTCATTCTTGTTGAAATTTATACTCCAGGTTGGATCTATAAGGCTGACTGTTCTTTCATCATACCCAGCTTAAGTCTACTGTTGACCCAGTCATGCTGTCCATAGCCTGGGAGACTGTTTGATTTTGACCTGGGCTTGCTTGCTTTTTTTTTTTTTGTTATTCTCACAGTTCTATTTTATTTCAGGGAAAACATACAGATCAAAATTAGCCAAAGGAAAAGATACAGAGAATGGATTTCTGCAAGGGTGCTAAATATGAAATTCTCATTGTCCTCAGATACTCTTCCAATACTGACAGTGCCATCTGTGGAGTATTGTCATCCAGTGAAGGTCATTTGAGATTCTGTGTCCTGAGTTTTTACTGAAGCTTCATTATTAAGGGTGTGGGTGATGGATTTGTTATCCAAATGGTTGAACTCAGTTTTCAACCCCAGTTCTACTCTCTGAAGGTCAGGTTGGTATCTAACCTGGCCTAGGGTTACCTGTTTAGCGTAAACATCAAGTGCGGGCTTAGGGTCCCCTCACCCCCTATAAATAACAAAGACATTTGTGTCACTCAAGAAATTCCAAAGATTTAAGGGCTTCTTTCCAGGAATCAGAGACAAAGGCAATACCTCCGTTTGGGCAAAATCAAATTCTTTAATAAAAACCTTTTTTTTTGTACCAGGAAGTCAACCCAGGGGGCTTAAACATGGAGCCACATTCCCAGCCCTTTTTTGTATTTTATTAGAGATAGGGTCTTGCTGAGTTGCTTAGGGCTTAAGTTGCTGAGGCTGGGTTTGAACTCATGATCCTGCCTCAGCCTCCTGAGTCACTGGGATTACTGGTGTATGCCTCCAGTAATCCCAGTAAGCCTGGCTTACTAAAAATCTTTTATCTGCTTATAAAAATACTAGCTACTCAGAGTGCAGTACATGCTAATGTTTAGTAGCTATCTGACATAGACCCTAGTATGCAACAGTTACTACATAGATGATTCTGGGATACTGTATACTTTTGTGCTCTCTTGCTTTCCTCTCTTTCATGGTCAATCATAGTTAATTCTGCCTCAGAAAATTTCTTCTATATGTATGCATATTTTTCTTCCCTTGTAGCTTATAAAACATTCCCATTTCTTTCTTTCTCTCTTTTTCACCACTTTCTACCACCACATACAAAAAACTTATGCCCTGGGCTGGAGGAGTAGCTTAGTGGTAGAGGGCTTGCCTCATTTGCTTGAGGCCCTGGGTTTGATCCCTAGCACTGAAAAAAACAACCCTGCATTTAGTTGAATTCATGGCTGTTGAATATAACAGCAATGGTGGAAACTTACTGTGAAGGGATTGCTTCTTTTTTTGGTGGGTGGGTACCAGGGATTGAACTCAGCCTGCGAGGGAGAGAAACATCAATCTGGCGTCAACAGAAATGTCTGTCAATCAGTGGGATCTCCTGACTAATGCCTGTCAATCAGCAGGACCCCGTGGCCAATCCTGGAGTTCAGCCAACTCCTCTGACCAACTCCAACAGGACCCGGGACTCTAAAAATACCTTTTCCTGTCCCAAGCCCTACCCTTCCTGCCATGAGCCCCATAAAATCCCAGTCCGGTTGAGCTCCCATGTTTCTCTTCAGACCCTTCTGAGGTTTCTCCTCAGACCCTTCTCCTGTCCACTGTGTCAGTCTGGTCTGATGAGTTCCGCCTGGGAGTGATATTTCAAATAAAGCCTCATTTGGTGGTCTTTTTAAATCTGCCTACTTTGGTCGCTGCCCTCCTCTCCTCGACTGATCTTACATTGGGCATTCAACCAGTGACACACATCCCCAGCTCTATTAGGTATTTTATTTAGAGATAGGGTCCGAGTTGCTTAGCACCTCGCTTTTGCTGAGGCTGACTCTCGGTCTTCCTGTCAGCCTATGGAGCCCCTGAGATTACAGGCGTGTAATCCACTGTGCCCGGCTGGGATTGCTTCTTAAAATAAAAACAGACCATGAGGGTTCAGGAGAACCTGGCACTGTCACCTTGAGTTTTAGCTCACTCTCGAATCTCTTCATTAGTTTTCTATTTCATGCTGGTATCCAGCATGGTTCTTTCTTCAAATCATGGCCTCAGTGAGCCTAGGTAGAACCCATGGCAGCATAGTGGAGGCAATAGCCTGGTTTTGGTGTTGTGAGGGATTAGGTCGAATCCAAGTATTGCAAACTTCTTAATCTAGGCAGAAGGACTGAGTTAAAAGCCAGCCTTAGCAATTTAGCAAGACCCAAACCAAGCAACTTAGTGAGACTCTGTCTCAAAAAATTAAAAAGGACTGGGGATACAGCTCAGTGGTTAAGTACCTCTGAGTTCAATCCCCCCTCCCCAAACAGATCAGCTTACAGACAGCTATGATATAACTGAGGATTCTTCTAGCACCCAAGGGTGGATATAACTTCTGAAGTACTTTGGGTATTGTATGTCGTTTTGACCTTCATCTTCAAGGTGCTACTTATGACCCATGTGAAAACAATCTACACAGATGCTTAAGTGCCAGACCTGTCTGTTTAAAAAATCTTTTCAAGGATCAGGGTATAAAAATATTTAGAAACAAAGAACAAAAAACAAACTTTAATGGCCATGCAGACACACAGCATTTTCATGCTCACTGGGTTAAAGTCCTGGAGAGTAGCTTCCAAACCAGGCTGCTCTGTACTAGATATATAGGATTGAATGGAAGTGGAGGAGGAAGCTGTTGTCTATACCTGGATTAGTGTTTTAAGGAAAGTTATTAAGAAGCAAGGAGTTAATGCCTTTTGAACACCTACCTTTGAGAAGCAGCGTAACAGACATTATATGTCTAGACCTATTATAGAGCCAGATTTGCCTGGGCTCAAAGTTCAGTTCACCCACTGATAGATGAGGATCATTAAGTTATTTATCTACCTCTGTGCCTCATTTTCTTTCTTTCGTTTTGGTACTGGGGATTGAATCCAGGGGTGCTTAACAATATCCCCAGTCCTTTTTATTTTTCATTTTGAGACAGGATCTCACTATGTTGCCTGTCGCCTTGCTAAGTTACTGAGTCTCAGCCTTCCCAGCTGCTGGGATTATAGATATACACTATCATGCCTGGCTCTGTGCCTCATTTTCTTCACCTGCAAAATTGAGAAAATAATAAGACCTACTTCAGGATTATAGTGAGATTTCAGTGATCTAGTGAAGTGCTGAGAAAAGTGCTTTTATACCTAAGTGTTAGTTGTTCACGAATTGACTTATCATTGTTATTTGTTAGTATCATTACTATTCCTTGCCAGGCACTTTATATTTGTTACATTTTTGCTCCTTCTAACATCCCTTGGAAATGAATAATATCCTCACTTTGCAGATGTTAAAGCAGATGATAACTTAGTTTGATTCCTCAGTTGTGAGACCTCTAAAATCTACTCTATCATGATTTCTTTCTAAAAGGTAATGTTGAGAATTAAAATGATTTTCTTTTCGGTCTTGTTTTAGGAAACCATTTCTGATAATTGTGTGGTGATTTTCTCAAAAACATCCTGTTCTTACTGTACAATGGCAAAAAATATTTTCCGTGACATGAATGTTAATTATAAAGCAGTGGAATTGGACATGCTTGAATATGGGAGCCAGTTTCAAGATGCTCTTTATAAAATGACTGGAGAAAGAACTGTGAGTATATCCTCAGCTATGCTGTTGTAATAGATGGTAACTTGGTTCACCTAGAGACTAGACTTTGTATTAGGAAAAGGAAGCCAGAAGTTCTCTGAAGATACCATCCACCATGCGGCCTGCGCATTGGTTTCATTAATGAGGTTTTTGGCATAAAAGTTAGCTAGCAGAGATCGAAATAAAACACACAGACTCAGTTACCTTTTCTTATGACCAGGTCCGAGATGGCTCCCCTCTCTGGCTCTAACCTTGAACCACACCCGTAGGGCAGCAAGGATTACTCAGGGCTAGCAGGAGAGCGAGCGAGCGAGCACGCCAGGGAGTAGCCTTTTATTGGGGAACAAGAAATTCAGGGGAGAATTCCATCCAATGAAGGTTGAGGGGGGGGCCGCACTCCAAGGTCAGGGTCAGTGATTGGGCCCCCGGGGTCAGTGGTCAGTCACACCCCCACACGGACGGGTTCTCTCATCAGGAAAGGGCCGGGAAAGTTCCGACACAGCCAGAACGCCTCAGACCCAAACCGGGAGTCGCCCAATCACGCGTGAGAATGGCTCTCCACAATACCAAGAAATGGCAAATTTGGAAACCAGAGTTTTATAATAGGGAAAAGCAGAGTTGTTTTTTATTTTTACTGTGTGTGTGCTTTCTTAGGCACTGGGATTACAGGGGATGATGGTGTTGTTATAAGGACTTATGTAGGGTTTTTAAGGTCCTCTTTCAAGATAAAGATGTTAAAGAGGGGTCATTCTTTAGTGACTGTGCAAATAGGAATGCTTTTCTCTTCCATGTTTATGGATTTTTCTAATATGCAACATAAGAACTGTGTTGCTATTTTCCTCTTTTATATTTGCATGGAAGTTTATGGTATATGTTCCCCCTTTAGTGAATATGTTAAGACTACTTAAACACTATAAATACTTTTATTTTTGTGTTACATACCATAGTGATTATGAGGAAGGCCTTTAGAATCAGATTTTCCTGGATTTGAATCTCCGATCATTTCATTTACTAAGATTGTCATCTTGGGCACATTCTTCCTCATTTTCCTCCAAAATCAGGCTAAAAAATAGTACCCAAGTATGAGTGTCAGCAAGTATCAGAAATGATTTCATAATTCTAACAATAAGTTATGCCTAATTTATCTTTTATTTATCTAACAGGTTCCAAGAATATTTGTCAATGGAACTTTTATTGGAGGTGCAACTGATACTCATAGGCTTCATAAAGAAGGGAAGTTGCTACCACTAGTTCATCAGTGTTATTTAAAAAAGAAGAGAGAATTTCAGTAATGTAGGTACTTACCATGACTAGTAAATGTTAATGTGATAATACCTGATAATGCCTTTTAAATATTTGAGGATGTTTTAAATGTGAATTATCTTCATGATTAAAAATAATGAAAAATAAATGGCTGTGGACACCTCATCTTCTTACTTGCCAATTCTTGAGGAAGAGATGATATTTATAACCAAAGGGGTAGTTATATCATAAGATAAGAATGCATTTAATTAGGAATTTTTATATGAATTTTACAGCCAAGAGCTAGGAGATAAGCATTTGAAATTATTCCCTATAGCATTCAGGAGTTAACTCCTTACCTTGCGTAGCTTTTAGTAGTAAGGACTGATGTGAGTTTCTTTCAGATTTAAGGTTCTCACTAATAACAGTTGTGAAACAGGTAGGGATATCTTCTACCATATTGTGTAAAGCCTTCACATTCTACTTCTAGAGCAATGTATGTCATATACATTAAAATTCAATGTCTTATACAGTATGTCTTATACATTAAAATTCATAGAATGGAATGAATTTTACCTTGGGGAAACCAAATGATTCATTTAATTACTTGATAGTTCCAGGGAACAGAAATTAAATGGAGGAAGATTTCAGCATTGTATAAAGATGAACTTTTTGAAAACAGTTCACAAGTGAACCCAGGGGCACTTTACTATTGAGCTACATCCCTAGTTTTTTTGTTTTTATTTTGAGACAAGGTTTTGTTAAATTGTCTAGGCTGGCCTCAAACTTGAATCATCCTGCCTCAGGCTCCCTAGTTCCAGGAATTAAACGTATGTGCCAATGTACTTGGCTCTTGATTTTAAATACAGAACTAATTATCCAAATACTTGAAGTTTTGGTGAGTATATTCTGATGCAACTTGTTCTCACTCTTTGGTATTGTCCTATACCTCAGACCTGATAACTTTTAAGGAAAGTTTTATAGGAATTGAGATAATTTCTATAAATTGACACTGACACAAAATGTTTTTATTTACCTAGTTCAGTTTTTTTTTTTGTTGGCATAACTCAAAAACAAGTTTTAAGAATTTGCATTTTCACTAAATCAAATTGTCTTGAACCTGTAATAGATCTCTACTGGAAAAGAATCCCCAACCATACATACTTTACCCACTGAGCTATATCCCTAACCTAAATTTCTTATTTTTAAAAAATAAACATAAACAGACGTTTTTCTGATGTGCATAGTATTTATTTGGTACCCCTATCAATTTCTACAATAAACAGATCAGAAGCAGTTCACATAGTGCCCACCTATACTTCACATCTAAATGAATTACTAGTTGAGCATCTAATCCAAAATCCAAAATCTGAAATGCTCCAGAACTGGACACTTTGTGGGCCCTGACATGATACCACAAATGAAAAACTCCATACTTGACCTCATGTGGAGGTCACAGTCAAATGCAGGTACATGAAAAATATTTTATAAAATCACCTTCAGGCTATGTATATAGAATATCCCCCAAATATTATGTATATGTATATGCAAATATTCCAAAATCTGAAAAATTCCAAACACTTCTGTGTTCTAAGCATGTCAGATAATGGATACTCAACCTATATTTAGTAGGGTATTTTGCAAGGCTGGAAAGAAGTAGTCAAGATTTTTCACCATAGTGGTGAAAACTTTAATCATGAAATAAATTTAATCATAAGCACATTTATCCATTCCCAATCAGAAAACAGCAAAATTACATTAGATGTATTATTTACAGTGAAAACTTGGAAGACTTGACAAAGCATCTATCAATAATCTTAGAAAACTCCACGTGCCCCCATTAAGGGTTTTCCTTAGAAATGAAATAAACACCAAACATGTTTATGAAACAGCAAACTTTATATACCTTTAAGCACCAGCTTGACAATTTATTCTTTCGGTTTTATAAAATATTCCTGCTTTGAAAGGCAAAGTGAATGTAAAAATGCAAATGTAATTAAATCACTGACCTGGATATTATTATTGCAATGGTTTCAATGTTTTAATACTATATTCACTTCTTTGAATTTGTTTGTAGGCTTGAAACAAAATATTTGCCTTCTGTCTCAAAATATTCCCTTAAAAATTAATCATTTTTGGAACTGTACAACTGTATTTGTCATTCATACTGTTAAATATATGAACTTGGTCCATGGAGGTCATGTTGTAGTCATAAAGCCCAGCTTTTTGGATAACTGGTTATACAAAACAATAAAAAATATTAAACTACCATAAAATATTACTGATGTTAACAGTTACGTATGTATAACACATCAGTGTACCCAGATTATCCTATTAATGTGTTTAAATTACTAATGTACAATCAGGTTTTAAACTTAGCAGTTAAATTCCCATTCATTATGTAAAATTAAAAGCTCTAGAAAGACTCTTTGAATTCTGTACTTCAGAAACATTATAACACTATTAAGGCATTACTTAATAAACAGACCCCAAAGAAAGTAACTAGTATGTTTGTATAGGAGAGCTAGTCATATTTTAAGGCAGTCAAAAGGGTCATTTTTCACTTTAAGGCTCTTATATATTTAAATTTATTTTATGTAGACGTTAGTCTGAATAATTTAAATATTTATCAAGTGACCAATTAGGGAACTCAAAGCCTTTAATAAAGTAAATGGGCAGTTTGGAATTAGATTATAACATTCCCTACTTCCACCCCCCCCCTTAAAAGATTATTCCATATATCTATCTCATCCCTTTGGACAATTTCTTCATACTCACAAGTTGGCAATAAAAATAAGAAAATTGAACTCAAACACATTACAAAATAAAACCTAATAAGTATTTTAACAGAAGTTTAAGTAATGTTTGTTTTAATACAGCATTCCAACAATTTTATATTTAACTTCATTCACTATCCTTGACAGTCTAAATGTTTATTAAGTGAAACCAGTAGAAATGTTAACTAATTTACTATTTGGTTAAGTATAGATTCTGCTAACTTGTAAAGTGCAGAAAATTAAACATTTTAAAATTAAAAACTACATGTCACTTGTGTTCGTAAAGTAAATATGCATGGAAGGACTAAGTAAAATAGAAGCAAAAGGAAAAAACTCTTCAGAATCAGAAACAACCTTTTGTGGATTTTTATTCACCTTAATTTCAGTAACAGAACCCTACAATATATTCACTTTTCTATCACTTTCCTGTATACCTTGGTATTTTCAGGGATTAGGAAAATGTGCCATTTATTATAACTTTATTCAAAAAGTATGATTAGCTACATTAGTTTTCTACATAAAAATATTATCTTAGAATTAACTTTTTAAAGTAAATTCCATAATTTTTCAGAAAAGCAAATAAAAATTTACCAATTAAAAAGCATTTAATTCCAATACAGGTTATTTACAAGGCTTTTTATGCTGTTGTGTTTGTGGCGAGGGATGAGGGAGTTTACTCAGTGAAATACTTAATATGAACATGAGATATGGTATTTTATTAAAGACTAGTTAGTTATTTTTCTGTTTTGGTACCAGGGATTGAACCCAGAGCACTGTACCACCAAGCTATATTACCAGCTTTTTTTGTTTGAGATAGGGTCTTGCCAAGTTTAGAGTAACAGGGAATTTGCCTAGTTGCTAAGGCTGGCTTAGAACTTTTGATCCTCCTCTCAGCATCCCAAGTCACTGGGATTATAGGTATGTGCCACTACACTTGGCTAGAGTAGTTAACTATTTTCTGACGAGTGCTTGTATACTAGAGCAGTTCCCTTCAACACAGGTAGGTACATCTACAAATACAAATGAAGGGTCAATCACTGATATTAGTGAAAGACCACACAATTTCTGGAAACATCTAATACCTTTTTAATTATATAACTTGATTTGGAAAGAGAATATACCAATCTGGTTATTGCTTGAAGAGACCTGCCATTATAAATTTGAAAAAAATATGACCTTAAATCTGTATGAAACAAAAAGCAGTCTAAAAGACATTCATCTCTCTTAAATTTGGTTTACTTTCCTGTCATTTAATTACCCATGTAGATAATACTAGAAAAAAAAGATGTTGAAAATGTTAGAAGAAATGAATTTTAAAAGGGGGGGGGGAAGGTATAAAAGGAATTTCCACTAAATAAGATAAAGGTGAAGACATCGGACAAACACTAAGTGAAATCCATACAATATATAGTAATTTCATAGCTTAACATTTTCTTAGTCTTTCTTGTGCATGTTTATATTGAGGGTATATGACAGTGCCTTAAATCACCCCAACCTGTGGTATTAAGACTAGACTTCAGTTTTTAAACTTCAGTTTATGTTGTCAGACCCTCAAATTTAATCAGTAATTCTGCCTTATCTTTCCAAAACTTATACATATATTTTTGCAAAATGTAGGGAAAAAAAAAAGAACCCAATAAACGGTATTTCATCATTTGTAGACTTATTATTTTAAAAGCTCATGAAAATGTGTTATATTATCCCCTTAGATATAGTTTTATCATCTATCCAAGAGGCTGTTAGTGTTAGAATATATTTCTTCCTTCTTTATCAGAGAGTTGTGAATTCTTAGTCAATATATTATCTGTGAAAATCTTTCTTCTGCATTTTTCCATTCTGAACAGCAATGTTTAAAAAAATTACTTGGCCTAATGAACTAGTTTTCTAAAACATTTTAATCCTTCAAAACTCATATCTATTAACAAGAATATTTTTAATTAAAAAAGTTCTAACTAGTATTGTGAGCCTTTTAATTTTTAAATAATCAATCATTGATTCTTTCGTTATCCAAGCATCAAATGTTACTTTATGAAAACTGCAAGAACAGAATAGGTTGAGTCACAACCACACAGTTAAGTGAGAAAGCAAAAGAGGTTCCAATGGGGCAACACTAAATTTCATTCACAACCATATGGCCACACTAACATTCTCTTAAAATAGTTATTTAGCTAATGTTTTAATAAATAGAATTTCCAAAGAATTTCAACTAATAAGAAAAGGTGAGACTGTAAATTCATTTTTTATTTTACTAGTTACAACTATATCTTGGAAATATGTCATTACCTAGGACTCTAACAACTGAGTTGTATCCCCAGCCCAGGACTGTTTTTAAAAGCAGTATTTTCCCCAATATTAATGTAACAGTAATCCTAGAAGTAATTCAGAAAATAAAGCTTGTTTATCACTCAAATACATTCTATTTATAATGAGGTAAAGTCTTACTTTTTTCTATAGGACTGTTATATAGCAACATAGCTTATTAAAACAATAATTGTGCTTGAGGATTACTATGAATTAAAAATGATAATGTTTACATCTGTTTTTCTACTCTTAAAGCAATCATGTATATACATTTCCTTAAAAGTTTTCAATAATTCTATTTTCTGAGAATAATTCTATTCTTCTAAGTGAATGTGTTCCCACAATGTGGGGTGTGAAAAGTGTAATGGGAATGAAGAGACCAAGATTTGTAGATCACTTATAGTGTTAGAGAATCAAATTCTGTTTTGAACCTTGGGTCTCCAGATGAAATTCAAAAGTTAGTTTTTAAGTTTCTAAGGTATCATTCAAGCTCTAAAGTGTCATAATTTGAAAGTAAAATTATGTTCTCTGGTATTTTCTTTCAGTTTTCCTTTCATATTTGTCTTTCTTAAATCTTACTCTAATCCATTTAATTAGACCTATCTAAATACTTCAAAAAGTCTCCTCTAATACATTTTTCTGATGGGTTTAAAATTAGCTCCTATATTTGTATGAAAGCTCTATCTAAATAGCACATAACTGAAGTTAAGTAAACATTTATATTCTATTTAACAGTTCTATTAGGAATAAAAAATCATATTATAATTTTTAATTTTTGAAGATCTTGGGTCCTTCAAATTTGATCTGAACATAATACTGTATCAAAAGTGGCTGTTAAATCCATTCCATGCTTGATAGAAGGTTAAAACCAGAAAAACATCAGAAATGATGTGTATCTGGAGTGGGAGGTACAACTAGCTTTGTGGACCAAAAATCTCTTAGGTAAATAACTGCTACTAATTTTAAAAACTGCTATTAGTTGTCTTGCAGGAATGGCTAAATATCAAAGCCAGCATTAATATGCCAAATACATTTGAAAAGAACATTTTCTTATTGTTCCCAAAGCCCCAAACTACTATGAAAATAGAAGAAATACATATTCAAATCCTCACACTATTAAAGTCACCTTGCCTCCAAAACATAAAATCTCTAATTCCCAAGCACATAGGTGGTTATAATTTATGTTTACTATTGTTTTACATTTATCATAAGAGCTTTAAGAACCCTAAAAAATCTTTATTTGATAGTTAAAGAACAATGCATAAAAATGCAAGTTTTACATGTAACAGCTATCTTAGACAACCTTTATAGAATTATGAGAATAGATACTAACATTTCAACAGATTGCTTTAATGTCAAACTTCCTAATGAAGATGGGATACTTGTTCAAGAAAATAATGCATATGTTCGTGTAATGTAAAGGAAGTTTAATGCACATAAACAAAACATAAAAATAGCAATTTCCTACAGACTGGTTAGTTCAAAATATGCTACTCAAAAACTGCTTTTCAAACCTGAACGACATGGCTTGCTTTACTACTTCTTCACCCTATCAAAAAAGAATGTTCTGTCACAAAAATGGATTGTGGACATGTTTACTATTAGAAAATATTTAAAACCCATTTATAATTGACTAGAAAAAGTAATTAAAACAATTCTTAAGAGTAAGGAAAAGGCAGTTGACATTTTAATTATTATACTGTTAAGATTATGAATAGGGAACTTAAATTCTTGAAATGTTATTTCCATTTGTGAGTATGAAAAACAAAAATGTGACGACATGAGGCTATATTGTTATTTAGAGGAAGTCATTGTCAAGTTACAGCCTTCATTCAGAGCAATAAAGCACAATAAACAATGAAAACCAATTCCACACTCAACACATATTTTAGTCTCTTCAGGCCCTATAACATTCTTAGGGTTTTCCATTATGTTTCTTCTTAATGGTAACAGATTCTACAACTACAAATAAAACATCAAGAATAAAATATCTGTTTCATTGAATAAGAAAGCTGTTATTTATATGATCTTAGAAAACTCTGAAAGGAATTTGTAAAACTCACTCATAATTTAATCATGTGTCTTAAGTTTTTTATCCCATATATATAAAAGTTTACAGATGAGTTTCATATTCCTTCACAGTTATATGGTCTAGTGCATTTCAGAGTATCTGGGTATTATCAAAGCTGTCCTTTTCCAATGAAAACATTTAAGAAAACATTAAGCACTTCTCAAATAAGTAACATGATGTAGAACTGCTTACTTTTGGATATCACCTTTTTGAAGTACAAATGTATCATTGACCAGAGCAAAACTGTTTGACTATTTTATAGTATCTATTAACAAAAAGTTCTCTATGAGAGAGAGGAAGCTGTAATATCCTGAAGCTATTTCCCAAGAGCTAGTTTAGTAGATAGAACTTTGGGCTCATCTTTATGTTTCCTTCTTCCTAGTTTTTTTTTTTTCTCTTTTTTTCTTTTTTTGGTAAAGTTACTTTCAATTATGCACACACTGCACTATCATCGTTCACTGGATTGAGATTAGGTGGGAAGTAGCTGCATATTTTCAGCGACAGCAATGGACCTCTTAGGTCATGACGGTGTTTATAGTTAAATCACATCTAATGTGAAATTTTGAATTACATCCAGGGCTCCGGTATCAAAGCCGCACATATCCAACATGCCTCTATCATCTGGGTCTGCAATGGTAAAACCATTTGATGTCATTCCACAAACAATGAATTTAGCTGGAATATTCATTTTCTGTAGAAAAAATACACAAAAAACACCAAATACATAACAAGTTATATATAAGGAAAAACAAAAACTTCCAATATTATAACAATTTAAAATTTCTGTACCATATTTTTTACTTAAAAAGCCAATTTATTTTTTTTGGGGGGGTCATTTTTGCTTCAATCTTTTTTAGAGTCCAACAATATGAGCTATACAAGAATGTAAAACAAAATTGTGTAAAGAACCTACCTGAATTTCTTTGTTCTACATTTTTGTTTTATGGGTTCCACAGTACATTTTTAAGCAGCCTGGAGACTTTGTAATTATGAAACCTGTTAGGATATTCAGGGGTGCCAAACATTTTTATCAAGATATCAAATGTTGGGTAATATGTGTGAATACACACAAATATAAAGAAAAAGGAAATACATCTTTGGGATTTTTTTATATTTGGTTTGTAGTTTTCATAAATACAATATATACATGTTCTACAAAAGATAAACACACACACACACACACACACATTTTTTTTGGGGGGGTATTGGGGATGGAACCCTGGGGCAATCAACAACTAAGCCACATCCCCAGCCTTTTTTTGTATTTTATTTAGAGACTGGATCTTGCTTCAGGCCTTGCTAAATTGCTGAGGATGGCTTTGAACTCGAAATGCTCCTACTCAGCCTCCTGAGCTGCTGGGATTACAGGCGTGCATACATAAGATCTTGTTCTCTACTTCTACATTTATGGTTAAAATAATTGAATATTTGAGAAAAACTAATAATCACTGAGTGTCAGACACTACAATGAACTCTTTAAATAAATAATATACCTAATGTAATTGTTGTTCTGACCCTAAAAGGTAAGTACTATTATATATCGTGACATATATCAGTTAAGTAATTTGCTCAGATTCACAGTTTGTGGAAGAGAAAGACTCAGGACTAAGACTTAAGGTTGTATTAAATCTAAGTTCTATTCCTGCTCCTATAATTCTCAAAATTACATGTATCACAATTCCCTGGAAGGCCAGTTCCACCTTCAGAATTTCTGATTAGAGGTGACAGATGGAACCTAGGAATGTGCCTTTCTAATGAGGTCCCAAGTGATGCTAAGGTTGCTTGTAGGGAAACCATACTTTGAGAACTACATCTTCCTTAACAAGTCTATTTCTATTTATAGTCACAAGTCACATTTTAAATGCTAAATAGTCCCATGTGATTAGTGGCTACCATTACTGGAATCTGCAGTTACAGAACATTTATGTCATTTAAGAAAGCTCAGTCAGGTTGCACAGTCTAGAACATAGGTATTTCCATAAAACTTAAGACACAGATTATAGCTTTGTTTAATTTTTTATAGTTGTTCGCAAATACCACAAATGAGACTTTGGTGCTGAAGATCGAACCCAGCACCCCCCTGCGCATGCCAGGCAAGCGCGTTACCGCTTGAGCCACATCCCCAGCCCCACTTTTTATAATTGCAAGTACTGTTGAGTCTATAATTGACACCGGGTCTACACAAAGATTAGAACTACTTTTAGTATTTTTTTTTTAAACAATGAAAAAGAATGGATTATTATTCAGATGAGAAACAACAGGATTTGTTTTACCTTTCGATAGTCCTTTAGAGCAATAGCAGGATGGATGCTTCCAGCAAAGGTCTCATTATCAGTGAATACAATGAAGACATCAGCAACTGTGTTTGTCTTCTGAGCCCAAATTATTGGAAGAGAACAATCTGTTCCACCTGCTGGGATCTAACCCAGAAAAAAAACCCCAAAAAACAAAAAACATGTATTAGAATAAAATTACCCTAGTGTCCACATAAATGAGATGTCTGAAAAAATTACTTAAAAATACAATTTTCATGTTATTTTATTTACAGCCTATATATATATGTGTATGTATGTATATATACATACATATATATATAAAATATATACCTTCCCTAATAAGACCATAGTTTTTTTTTTAATATTGTACTTCTCATGAGAAAACAATTTGTTCTTACAGATATATATCATGCAAGATGTCAATATAAAATTATTGTATAATACATATTAAGTAGTATTTTTTGTTTTGTTTTGTTTTGTTACTAGGGATTGAACCTAGAGGCACTTAACAAATGGGCAACATCTCCTGCCCTTTTTATTTTGATACAGGGTCTAGCTAAGTTGCTTAGTGCCTCGCTCATTACTGAGGCTGGCTTTGAATTTGCAATCCTCCTGCCTCAGCCTCCCAAATTGCTGGGATTACAGATGTGCGCCACCAAGCCCAAGTACTTTTTTTTCATGTTAAATAAACTTAATAAAATTTTCTTACCTGATTCATAGCTATTAAAACCTGTTGTAAGGTCATGTCTGTAGTTATGGGGCATGGTACCATTTCATGTGAAAAAGCAACTATAGAAGAATCCTTTTCTGTTCGTGTAACAACCTGAAAATTCAATGGTAGTAATTTTCAGCAGATTGGGGGGGGAAGTATAGTATTGAAGTTTATACAACTTCATTATAAACAAACAAACAAACAACACTATGATGCTTGTTTTATTTCTAAACTTATACTACCGTGCAACAATAAAGTAATAAGTGAATGGTAATATAGTTTACATGAACTTACAAAGAAGCTGTTTTTTTTTTTTTTAAAAAAAAGCCACTTTTCACAATAATCCTTTGAAGCAAATAAAGACTATATTCTCATTTTATTAAATTAGGAATAAATTCACAGTAATGAAAAAAAAACCCCTGAAAACAAACACTCCCAAATAATTTTCCTGGCTCTATGTTTTCTGATATCTTTGTCATCAATATTTTTAAACATATTTATTTTTTATTTTAGCTGTATATGGACACAGATTTTTATTTTTATTTTTTAATATGCTGCTGAGAATCGTGTGTGCCTCACATGTGCTAGGCAAGCTCTCTACCATTGAGCCACAACCTCAGCCCTTTGTCATTAATTAATTTTTACGCATTATCTACTTCCTCAAAAATACTATTAATATTTATTATTGTTAATTTAAAATTTCAATTCTGACTATTCCTTAGAAATAATTTTCAATATACTTAAAACTTCTTTACAAAATTCTTTAAATATAAAATGAAGTGAAAAAGACTGTTGATATATCTCCCTTTATAATTTAACCCTTTAGTAAACCATTTCTTAGAGGAGCAAACACTCTATTTTATGTGTTCTCACCATGCACATTGCTGCAGCAACAGTACTAGCATTGAGTATACTACCCAAAACTCTTTGGTTCATAGAAGCACTGACGTCAACAGCCAGCAAGAAACGCTTTCCAGTTGGCTCAACTGTCTAAAGAGAAAACAAAACAATCATTAAAAGAAGTCTCAGAAACTGTAAAATAAGAATTTTATTTCCTTACTTTTCATTCAAAAGATTCTCTATTTTTTTTTTTGTACCAGGGAATTGAACTCAGGGGTATTTAACTACTGAGCCACATCCCCAGTCCTATTTTGTATTTTATTTATAGACAGGGTCTCACTGAGTTGCTTAGTGCCTTGCTTTTTGCTTAGCTTGGCTTTGAACTCTCATTCCTCCTGCCTCAGCTTCTCTAGCTGCTTGGATTACAGGCATGTGCCACTGGGCCTGGCTTTTTTTTTTTTTTAATATATGTATTTTTAGTTGTTGATGGACCTGTATTTATTTATTTGTATGTGGTGCTGAGGCGAAACCCAGTGCCTCACACATGCTAGACAAGCACTCTGCCACTGAGCCACAACCCCAGCCAACCTTCTAATTTTTGACACACCAATCAAGACAACTATTCAAAACTGATTAGCTTGCCAAATTAGTGGTGCACACCTATATTACAGTGACTCGGGAGGCTGTGGTGGGAGGATCCTATGTTCCAGGCCAGTCTCTGCAATATAGTGAGATCTTGTCTCAAAAACTAAAAAGAGGGGAACTAGGGATGTAACTCCCTGGGTTCAATCCCCAGCACTACAAAAACCAAAACCAAAACCAAACCAAAACAAAACAAAACAAAACAAAAAACCAAAAACCCCCCCAAAAACCAAACCAAACCAAACCAAAAAAGCTTATTAGCTCATAGTTCAGTTCAGGTCAAACAAAGGAAATATGAAAATCTAAAAATCGAATAATTTAATTGAAAGAAGTTACTATGCTATTTTTTTTTTTAAATTTTCATCTTTAAGGCAAAATAGGAACTTCTAGGAAGAAATCTTTCATTGTGGTAAAATGTAGGTAAAGAAGTGGCCAGACACCAGGCACAGACGCCCACACTTGTGTACAATTTTAAACATTCTTTTTGTTTTTTAAAAGAGAGTAATGTGTTTTATTATATACTTTTTAGTTGTTGATGGACTCTTATTTGTTTATATGTGGTGCTGAGAATTGAACCCAGTGGCTCACACACACTAGGCTACAACCCTAGCCCAATTCTACACTACATTCGTAAATGTAGAATACAGTGGCATTAAGTACATTCACAATGTTGTATAACCATTATTTTTAAGAACTTTTTCATTATCCTAAATGGAAACTTTATCATCAGTCCCAACTTGCCCTAGTATCTGTGTTATAGGCAGATTCTTTTTCATTTGTTTTTGGGTATTGGGGATAGATTGAACCCAGCAGAGCTTTACCAGGGAACTACATAACTAGTCCTTTTTATTTTTTGAGACAGGGTATAGCTAAGGTTGGCCTTCAATCTGTGATCCTCCTAATTTAAGCCTTCTGAGTTGCTGGGATTGCGGGTGTGTGCTACTAGGCCAAGCAACTGGCCACTTCTATACTATTTTTTAATCTCTAAAAATTTGCCTATTCAGGCTGGGTGTAGTGGCACACACCTGTAATTCCAGTGGTTCAGGAGGCTAAGACAGGAGGATTGCGAATTCAAAGCCAGTCTCAGCAAAAGCGAGGCACTAAGCAACTCAGTGAGACCCTGTCTCTAAATAAAATACAAGATAGGGCTGGGGATGTGACTCAGTGATCGAGTGCCCCCTGCGTTCAACTCTGAAACCAAAAACAAAAAAACCCCAAATTGACTATTCAGGATATATCATATAATGCAATCATATAATACTTGCTCTTTTATGTCTGGCTTGTTTCACTTAGCATAAAGTTTTCAAGGTTCATCCATGTTATAGTATTTATCAAATTTCACTGCTTTAAGGCTAAATCATATTCTATTCTATGTGTATAAAACGCTTAATCTGTTAATCTTTTGATGAATACTTGGGTTGTTTTGTCTTATGGCTGTAGTGAATAATGCTGCTATAAATACTGCTATACAAATATCTGTTTTGAGTACCTGTTCTAATTACTTAGGGCATATGCATAGGGGTAGAACTGCTAAATGGAACGGTAACTTTATGTTTTAACTTTTTGAGCCCTTGTTTTTCCTAGGGGCTGCAACATTTTATATTCTCATTAGTAACACAACCAAGTTTTGATTTCTCCACATTCTTTCCAATATTTATTTTATGCTTTTTAATACTACTGGTCCAATTAAGTGTAAAATGTACATCACTGTGGTTTCATTTGCATTTCCCTGTTGACTAATGAAGATGAGTATATTTTCATGTTCTTATTGGTCATTTAGAAATCTTTGGAAAAAAGTACTTTGCCCACTTTTAAACTGAATTATTTGTATTTTGCTGTTGGATTTAGGAATTCTTTTTATACATGGACAGTAAACCCTTATCAAATAGATGATTTGCAAGTATTTTCTTCCATAGTATAGGTTACTTTTTCATTCTTTTTCTTTTTCCTTGATGGGGATGGAACCCATGAATTCACACCTACTAGAGAAGTACTCTACCACTGAGCCACAACTATGGTTATTTTTAGCTCTTAAATGGTCACTGATCCACTGTACTATTTTTTATAGTGTAAGGAGCCAGCCTGACTTCATTCTTATGCACATGAATATGTAGTTTTTCTAGCACCATTTGTTGAAGACTGCCTTTCTCCATTGAAATATCTCAAAATTCTTCTTAAAAAAAAATCAACTGACCATATGTCAGGGTTTATTTCTGAATTCAGAGTATTTTGATTACTGTAGTTTTGTAATAAGTTTTGAAATACAGAAGTGTGAGTCCTCCAACTTACTTCTTTCAAAGATTGTTTTGGCTACCTGGGGTCACTTGAAATTTCATATGAATTTTATAGTGGGTTTTTCTATTTCTGCAAAACATGACATTGGGATTTGAAAGAGATTGTATTGCACCTGTAGATTGCTTTGGATAGCACTGTGATCTTAAGCGTTCCAAACTAGAAACATGGATGTCTTTCCATTTGTCATCTTGAGTTTTATTAACAATGTTTTGCAGTTTTCAGTATGTGATTCTTGCATCTCCTTATATTTATTCCTATCTTTTGTTGTTTTTTTTTTGATGATACTGTAAATGAAAAATTTTCTAAATTTCCTTTTCATTGTCATTGCTACTAGATAGATACAACTGATTATAACAAGTTAATGTCACATCCTGTAACTTTATGTTAGAGTTTGCTTGTTTTATAGTTTGTTTTGTGTGTGGTGTGTGGATTCTCTAGAGTTTTGTACAATGTAAGATCATGGCATCAGAGGACAGGGATAATTTTACTTCTTCCTTTCCAATTTGGAATTTTAAAAATTACTTTTCTAATTGATAGAATTTCTAATACTACATGGAATTGAAATGGAAAAAGTAGACATCTTTGACCTACACCTTATCTCAGAGAAAAGTTATCAATCTTTCACCTTTCACAGTAGGATGTTAGTTTTTTTTTGATACTGGGTATTGAAACCAGGGGAACTTTACCACTAAGCTATATTGCCAGTCCTTTTTATTTTTGAGACAGGGTCTCACTAAGTTGCTTAGAGCCTTGCTAAGTTGCTTAGGTTGGCCTCAATCTTGTGATCCTCCTGCCCGAGTTTCCAACATTACAGGTGTGTGCCACTACGCTCAGCTGTCAGGAGTTGCCTATAGGAACTGAGCGCCCCTTAGCTTTGAGCGATGAGAATGTGGAGATGTGGCAAGCCAGCCATGGGCTGTGTGTGTGTGAACTATGAGTACTGAGAACACATTGTGGACTGAACCGATGTTGTCCCCGTTTGGGCAGGTGATGTACTTTGGCTTGCTCTGCCTATGATCCCCACACAGCACATGAGATGGGCATGGCATTCCTAGATGTCAGTCAACCTGTTGACAGCAAGATATCACTAATCCCCTGAAACATGACCCCTTGAAGTCATCTGAATGACTTCTCCCCAATAAAAGTGTTCAGCACATGCTTCGTGCTCTCTTTCTTTTCTGCCTTGTCCCCCTTGTGGGAGCTATGGCTGAGGTGTGGCCACTATCTCAAAGAAAAGGTACTTTCTATAAGTTTTTATTTAGTCCCCAAATTCACCTGGAGTGACCCTGACTGATCTAGTCACATGTCGCAACACCTAGCTATGTTTTATTAAAGTTCACTTGTATCCCTTATTTATTTATTAACTGTTTTTCTTTTTAAAATTATGAAATAAGTCAGGCATGGGGGTGTATGCCTGTAAACCCAGTGGCTCAGGAGGGTGAGGTGCAAGAGTGAGGCAGGAGGATCACAAGTTCAAAGATAGCCTTAGCAAAACAGCAATGCCCTAAGCAACTCAATAAGACCTTGTCTTAAAAAAAAAAAAAAGGGACTAGGAATGTGGTTCACTGGTTAAGTACCCTGGGGTTCAATCCCCGGTACCAAAAAAAAAATCATGAAATGATGTTAAGTTTTGTCAAGTGCTTCACCCTCACTCTCCAATTTAGATGAGCATGTGTTTCTGTCCCTTTATTCTACTAATGTGATACATTACATTGACTCGTTTTTATTTGTTGAATCATCCTTGCACATCAGGGATAAATATCACTTGGCAATGGTGTATAACCCTTCAAATTTGCTAATGAATTTGGATGTTATTTGTTGCATATCAAGAAAACTTTAAAACCCCAAAATTTTAACTTATTATTCTGTTATGGGATTTCCATTCTGAAAAACTCACTTGCTATCAAGACTGATAAAATTCATCTACCAATTAATGGAAAAAACAGGGGAGAGAGAACCAAGTCATAGAAACCTACAAGAATGCAAACTTTAACATTTAATAATTTATCAAAATGATCAAAATCATCTTAGTATAGTAGTTGCTAACCAAAGATAATAGAAAATACTTTACTTATAAACTTATGATGTTATTGCCAGTCACAGTGGTGCATACTTGTGATTAATAGCAACTTGGGAGGCTGCGGTGGGAGGATCACAAATTCAAAGCCAGGCCAGGAACTTAGTGAAACCCTGTCTTCAAATAAAATATAAAAAGGACTGGGGATGTGGCTCAGTGGTAAAGCTCTTCTGAGTTCACTCCCCAAAACACTCCATTGTGTATACACAATGGAGTATTACTCAGCACTAAAAAATGACAAAATCATAGCATTTGCAGGGAAATGGATGGCATTAGAGCAGATTATGCTAAGTGAAGCCAGCCAATCCCTAAAAAACAAATGCAAATGTCTTCTTTGATATAAGGAGAGCAACTAAGAACAGAGCAGGGAGGAAGAGCATGAGAAAAAGATTAACATTAAACAGGGACGAGAGGTGGGAGGGAAAGGGAGAGAGAAGGGAAATTGCATGGAAATGGAAGGAGACCCTCATTGTTATACAAAATTACATATAAGAGGAAGTGAGGGGAAAGGGAAAAAAAAACAAAGGAGAGAAATGAATTATAGTAGATGGGGTAGAGAGAGAAGATGGGAGGGGAGATAGTAGAGGATAGGAAAGGCAGCAGAATACAACAGACACTAGTATGGCAGTATGTAAAAATGTGGATGTGTAACTGATGTGATTCTGCAATCTGTATATGGGGTAAAAATGGGAGTTCATAACCCACTTGAATCAAATGTATGAAATATGATATGTCAAGAGCTTTGTAATGTTTTGAACAACCAATAATAAAAAAAAATCCTCAAAACAAAAAACAAAAAACAAAAAAACTTACATTGTTATTTATATACCCACTTCACATAGATTAATGAAGAACAAATGAATATATACTCTAAACTTACAACTATTCAAACTACCTTTAAAATGTTTTTACAAAAAATGTTAATTCCCAAGTCATTTTTAAAAAAACAAACGTCAAACCTTAAATGTTTTATAAAAAGCAGCATCTAATGCTTTTAATATTTCTTCATCAGGGCGCCACTTCAGTTTTCCTCTGAGTCCATGACCTGTTTTATAAGTTTCTAGTGCAACTAAAACATGAAATGGATGTATTCGAGCCTAGAAACAAGACAAAGATAGAAAGTAAAAGCAAAATTCAAGTTAAAAAATAGTAATTATGTATCTTCATTACATGGTGTGCTACTATAGCTAAGAAATACATTTTATAAAGAAAAGAGAAAAAATGAGGATTTTTAACCTTAGAATTCTGAGTCAGAATGTAATCTGGTATATTGGGGCTGGGGTTATAGCTCAGTGGTAGAGTGCTTGCCTATCATATGTGATGCACTGGGTTTAATCCTCAGCACCACATAAAATTGAATAAATAAAGGTATTGTGTCCACCTACAACTAAAAATACATATATTTTTAATATTTTTTAGTTGTAGATGGACACAATGTCTTTATTTTAATGTGATGCTGAGGATCGAACCCAGGGCCTCAACACTTGCTAGGCAAGTGCTCTACCACTGAGTTACAGCCCCAGCCCCTAAAAATATATTTTTAAAAATGTAATCTGCTATAAAAGTCTCAGAACACTTAAAATATGCACTAACTACATTTTCAAAATTTAGAAGCCAACTTTTTCAGTTAGTAGATTAAAAAAAAAAAAAGACGCATGATAATACTTACCTTTTTCAACAGTTTTTCATTACATAGTTTTTCACATACTAAAGATACTTCTGAATTTCCTGGCTCAAGCACTGAATTAGCAGTCATCTTTCCTAGATTCCTTAGCAATGCAGTAAGAGGCATTTCTTGTAACAAAGCCTTCCATACCTATAGAAAGGAATGTAAAGAATCAAGGAGAAATGAATGAGTATAACACAGGTATATCAATGATAGGAGTTTATTCTCCAAGGCTTTTATTTAGATTTCAAAGTACTTTCAGAATGAGAATTTGTCTTAAGGCTAATCAAATAAGCTTAACTTACTCTTACTAGAATAAGAAAGTATGTATTTTATGAAGAAAATACAAAGATGATTTTTAAAAATTAGGCAGGATATGGTGTGGAGTGGATCTGACACAAAATGCCAATTGGACATCAGTATTAGATGTTTTAAATTAACATTATTTTCAAGATATTTTTTAGTTAATTTCTGTCTCTCTTTTTGCAAGACTGGGGATTGAATCAGGGCCTTTTACATATAACATTTCCTTTTAAAATAATTAATTTACTCACCTCTTTAGATTTTAAGTGATTCGTTAGAAGATGTTCCCTAACTAATCTATGTTCTTCTATTAGATGAATGACTTCCAGTTCATCTTTTGTGCGCTTCACTTTCTCTACAGCCTCCAGATACTTTAATAATTTTTCAGTTTCCACAGTAAGTGCTTTTTCTTTATACAATTCATGGACCTCCTTCCAGCCCTTTGTAATATATTTGGTCACAATGGCAAGTCCTTTAATAAGATAAAGAATTAAAAAGGCAGGCAGGATTACCAAGTGAAAAATAGAACATGTTTCTGGAGAATGCAGCATATGATAGGCTTAACTCCCCTCAAGTAAGATGCAGTTTTCTTCACTATCACAAACATATTTAAGCAAATGGAGCAAACTGACTTCGCGAATTTCATCATTACTGTTTAAATATGAGACTTCTGGGGGAAAGAAAACATCTATATCCTAAATAATTTATAGAGGCTTGTTCCCCAGCCTGCCCCACAATACCAGCATTACAAACTGTAGGCAGTGCCTATTTCAGGTTCACAATCTCAGAACAATTCACAAGAATATAGATCTATGTCAATTAATAGTTATTTGTCCTTCTCTGCTTCTGAATCAATATGCTTTTCTGATTAGTAGAAATTAAGTGGAAATGGACAGGTAGGTAGGTAGGTTCTTTTAAAACTGTCTTTAAAAAACAAATTAAAGCACATATATATAAACAATACATATTTCAGTTAGGACATTACAGGACAAATTAAGAAAAAAGAAAAATAGTTTGCTCATTCCTTCTGTAATTTCTTCTAATAGCAGAAAGAGATTTGTGGGTGAAGAAATAAATATTGATCTTTCTAGGTCTTAGTTTTCACATCTGTTAAAAAGGGGGGAATTTATTTACTAAATTTAAACGTCTATGAGGCAAAGTCAGACAAAGTAAGGAAATAAAACAGCCTATGGTGATGTCAAAGTCATTAGGACTGTGATGAATTGAGGAGAGCATATATTGACATGTGTTAGCCAAGTACTGCTTTAGTACTATCAAAAATTTACTTTCAAGAAGTCAGAATATGGACTTTTATGAAGTCTTCTGACTTCCATTTTTTCCTTAAAATATTTTATTGGTCAAATTAAACACAGCTAAGCAAGAATAAGCCTATGTGCTATTTTTTTGAACTCTAAACAATATGAGCAAAAGTTTGTACCAATATACAGGAACTTCTAAGGTATTGTGAATCTTTTATCTTCCAGATTTTTGTTTATGGATTGAACCCAGAGGGTGCTTAACCACTAAGCCACATCCCCAGCCCTTTTTTTTCATATTTTATTTTGAGACAGGGTCTCCCTGAGTTGCTTAGGGCCCCACTAAGTTGCTGAGCTTTGAACTCAAGATCCTCCTCCCTCCGCCTCCCAAACTGCTGGGATTACAAGGTGTGCACTATTGAGCCTGGCTTTATCTTCCAGATTTTGTAATGATATATTAAACGATTAAATGTTTTATGCAAGCATGTCTTCTACATTGTCTTACCAAGGAAAATAATTTATTTTTTTAAAATTATTTTTTTTGAGAGAGAGAGAGGGAGAGAGAGAATTTTAATATTTATTTTTTAGTTCTCGGCGGACACAACATCTTTGTCTGTATGTGGTGCTGAGGATCAAACCCGGGCCGCACACATGCCAGGCGAGCGCACTACCGCTTGAGCCACATTCCCAGCCCCAGAAAATAATTTATTAAAGCAATCTTATCCTACTCAGTTCTGTAATTACACTAGCCTGCAGGTACATAATACCCAATAAATGAATCACACTTTGATTTCAGTTAGGACATTAACATATTACTTATTTGGTAGCTTATAGTTGCCTATCTCCCTTATACTAAACAAAGATTTAAGTGCTAAAAAAACAAAGCAGCATAACTGGGAAAAATCACAGGTAAATATTTACTTACATGACCTTAGAAAAAGCCTTTCTAAACCTAACATAAAACAAAAACCTGTGAAGGTACAAGTTTGACTACATTAAAATCCCCAGCTTCAATGTGCCAGAAGCACACCTGCTTATGTATGCATGTGGGCACATACACACACACAAAGACAAAGAAAAAAATGGGGAGGGGGTTTGCATGAATGTGTATCATAATAAATCACTAACTCCTATAATACATATTCCAAGTACTTAGAACAATGTCCATCAACAATAGGTACTCAATATTTGTTGAATGAATGAATGGTGATAATAATCAACATCAAAAAGAATAAATATGTTGAAGCAGGGGAGGGGAACTAATAATGTACTTCTACTACATACCAGAAAATATGTATGCTAAGTAAGTATTCTAAGATGCATTATTATGTTTAGTTACAATAATTGTAAATGTTATCCTTCTCCCTTTTCTAATAGAGGAAGGCACAAAAACTCAGAAAGATGAATTTACTTGGCTTAAGTATACAAAGTACAAAGCAGAAATAAAATTTGAGAGGCTATATTTTCAAGTTTCATTTCTGATAAGAAAAATAAGTCAAATTTTAGACATGCTGATTTTTGCAGAAGTTCATATTTTAAATTATTTCTTCCAAGAAGTTTTTATATTCTTCCTAAGAGAGACTGATAATTATTTTAGATACAACTAACTTCAAGTCTTTTCCCATAGGTTTAGAAAAAGTACCCAAGTTACCCTGTGAAAGCTATGGACAATTAACACCCTACATTGTTAAACTGTGCACTATTTTAAGTAGCCTTTAGGTTCCTTGCCAAAAATGTTCTAGAGAGATGGGGATGAGGGGTGTCTACAGCAGTACAATTTTGTTATCTGCCATCTAACAAGCTGATGTTTGCTTATTACAACTTTAGTCCATACTCCATTCATAGCCCACTCTCACTTGGGTAAACACTTGAGCTAGCATGGTGACATTTTAAGATTTAGATGTTAATTTGTAAAATTGTTATATGATTCTTGATTATCAATGTCTGGATTGCCTATGATTAGTTGTTAGGTGTTTAGTTCCAGGTTGGCATTAAATATTTTAATTAGTCAATCAATCTGTCTCAAAAAGGCTAATTCTTGGAAATAATTACATAATGTCAAATAAAAATTCACTATTTATTCTACAATCCATTCCCCCATACCCCATGAACATCTTATGCTTACCTTCACTGGAAGGCTTAAGATGTGACAGTCTTAACAGATCTTTGTGAGACCAGCCATTTCTTTGTTTATATTTTGTAACTGCTAGAGCAAGGGCCATGCCTCCTTTTTCATTGTACCAGTCTGCAATAGCCTTCCGGAGAGCTCGACCCCACATACCACATTTCATGCTTTCCTTCAGATCTTTCTTAAATTGGATAAAAGTAAAGAGATGTGTAGGAATACGACAAACTTCAGAAACAGCTTTAAATGCTGCTTGTTTTGTGCTTATGTCAGAACACTGGGAACAAATAGCAAGTGCAAAGAGCAAAGGCTCTTGCTTTATGGTTCTGCCTTCTTGACTAAACGACTTTATTTCTTGTATCACTTCATAACCTTTGCCATCTTCAATCAATCTAATTAAAGCTTCAGCATTTTCAAGGCCCAGCTTCTGTTCTTTGATATAGTAAGTCCCACCTTCAGAACCAAAACATAAGAACCGATGCAGTCTATTCATGTCAGTGACTTGCCATACATATCCATCTTCAGAATTGGCTACTTGCTTTTCATTCAGTGGCTGCATTTGATTTAGAGCTTCCTCCATTTTTCCTTTTAGGAAACCTATGAAAAAAGCAAAATGTTATTATAACTAGATGTGCAAAATAAAATCATATAAAGGAAAACAATATTAATATTCACATACCGAAGTTACTGGAATCTGTTACAAATATAATTAAAAAATATCTTTAAAGCCAAGTTTTTCTTTTAATATAAAATCAATATAGATACCCTTAAGAAAAATTAGAAAAAGGAAAAAATGAAAGGAAAAGAAAAGCCCTATGTGACCACCAAAAATGACCTCTAAAAGACTTAAGTTTTTAAAATGTTCTTGCTTTGTATTTATATTTTTATAAACCAGGGAAATTCAAATACTTCAAAGCAAACAAACTAGATTATAGCCACGGTGATATGATAATTAGCAGCTACAACTAAAGAATCATATTTCTGAGGTACAGTGTATTGTCTGGGAGATGAAACAACTAGAAAATCTAATGGCAGTACAGTGGTTATAAGAAATAGATTTATTATAGTGAGATAGGAGGGTATTCAGTGAGGAACAGAATCCACAGATAGACTACTCTAAAAGAAGCATAGGTATAAATGATGAAAGCATAGGTATAAAAGACTGAAATCTATCCTCAGAACACTTGGAATGGAACCACCATTTGACCCAGCTATTCCTCTCCTCGGTCTATACCCAAAGGACTTAAAATCAGCATACTACAGGGGCACAGCCACATGACGTTTATAGCAGCACAATTCACAATAGCTAAACTGTGGAACCAACCTAGATGCCCTTCAATAGATGAATGGATTAAAAAAATGTGGCATATATACACAATGGAATATTACTCAGCAATAAAAGAGAATAAAATCATGGCATTTACAGGTAAATGGATGGAGTTAGAGAAGATAATGCTAAGTGAAGTTAGCTAATCCCAAAAAATCAAATGCCAAATGTTTTCTTTGATATAAGGAGGCTGATTCATAGTGGGATAGGGAGCGGGAGCATGGGAAGAATAGATGAACTCTAGATAGGGCAGAGGGGTTGGAGGGGAAGGGAGGGGGCATGGGATAATTAATGAATTGTGGAATGTGATGATAATTACTATCCAAAGTACATGTATGAAGACATGAGTTGGTGTGAATATACCATGTATACAACCAGAGATATGAAAAATTGTCCCCTCTCTCTATAATATGAATTGTAATGCATTCTGCTATCATATATAAATAAAAAAATTACATAAAAAAATCAGCATACTACAATGATGCAGTCCCATCAATGTTTATAGCAGCTCAACTCACGATAACTAAACTATGGAACCAACCTAGGTACCCTTCAACACATGAATGGATAAAGAAAACATGGCATATACACACAGTGGAATATTACTCAGCCTTAAAGAATGAAATAATGGCATTTGCTGATAAATGGATGGATATCATGCTAAGCGAAATAAGCCAATTCCCAAAAAACAAAGGCTGAATGTTTTCTCTGATATGAGGATGCTAATTCACAATGGGGGGCAGGTACTTGGGAAGAATAGAGGTACTCTGGATTGGACAGAGGTGAGTGAAGGGGGCATGAGAGTAGGAACGAGAGTAGAATGAATCAGACATTATGTGCCTATTTGATTACACAACTGGTATGATTCTACTTCATGTACAACCAAGAATGAGAAGTTATACTCCATTTATGAATGTCAAAATGCATTCTATGGTCATGTATAACTAATTAGAACAAAAAATTTAAAAAAGGACTGGAATCTAGAGGAAAAACCTTAAATTTTTTTTTTTTTAGTTGTAGACGGACACAATATTTTTATTTTTACGTGGTGCTGAGGATCAAATTCAGTGCCTCATATTTGCAAGGCAAGAGCTCTACCACTAAGCTACAGCCCCATCCCAGAAAAATCTTTTTTTTTTTTTTTTTTTTTTAATCTTCAATGGGAGGGCACTGAGGTTAAGACTGAAAGAGTCAACTGGAAAGTTGAAAATACAGTAAAGAAAGGGTATTATGGAAAGAGTGACATTCCCGAAAGCAGACATATAACTTTAGAACATCTAGGTCGAACTGGCCTACTCATGGCAAGAGATAGCTGTGAAGATTACCCATAAAGTGATTTGAGACAGATGGAGGTATAAAGAAATAAGAGGAAGTTCCCATCTGACAGAATATGTAGAGTTCTATGGGAAGCTACCCATTAATTACTTGAGGGTCTTTACCAGGTATAGCAGCCAGAGAGGTTTAGGTTTGGCATTGTGAACTATTTGTGGCTCTTCCCACTCAATAAATTGCCCAATGCACATGACCTTTATTTCTGCTCTACTAGGAAGATCCCTCACAGAAGCTCCAGACATGGGTGTAATCCTTTGGGAATTGAACAGGCCACCTTTTTTTTGGGCAAAGAATATTCCATGGAAAACCTTTGATGTTCCTGATATAAATAAAGCAAGCCCGGGCTCCATTTTGCTCTTTTTAGTGTGGAAGCGCGATCCGTGTGATCGGCTAGCCCGTCCTGCTCCTGCTTTTTAAAAAATATTTCCTATGTCCTGTAGTTTTTTCCTTGTTCTACTTTTCTTAGCCTTTATTCTGCTGTCAGCCCATCCTACCGAGAGGAACCCCATTTCCACAGTCCACATGGGACGTGGGTGGAAGAGTTCCAAATGGTATGTGGGGCAGTTTGGTGTCTAGGGGAGGAATGAAAAGACTGGGTCTGCAATGGGAACATATGATGTGGGAACAAGTGCATGAGAGATGGAGCTCTTCAGATTTTTAATGTGACTAAGGGGGCAGTTAATATTATTGAGTCATGTTCAAAACACCAGTGTCAATATTCCAAATAAAACTGGTACAAATATACTTATGTCAATGAAGGTTAGGTTTCAGGTATTATATGAGCATATCAGTCATTAGGGACTGATTTAAAGTACTGATTATAGGCTGAAACTCCTGGTGTAGTTCATGTTTCTTTTTATTCTCACTCCCTTTTTAATTTGCCTTTCAATCCAAAAAACTTTAAGAAGACTAACAGCCTTCTCAAACACTGATAACTTAATTGACAATTCCAGTAGATCTTTACAATGCATTTGTTAATACTGATCTCTCATACACACACACACACACATTTTGGTACTGGGAATTGAACTCAGGGACACTCAACTACTGAGCCACATCCCCAGCCCTATTTTGTAGACAGGGTCTCACTGAGTTGCTAAGCGCCTCACTGTTGCTGAGGCTGGCTTTGAACTTGGGATCCTCCTGACTCACCTTGGGATTACAGGTGTGCACCACCACTCCTGGTTTTTAAACATATTTAATATTAAGTATTCAGGTATCATTTGTAGAACAAGCAGCAAAATAAACATTTAAGTCAAAAAAGGATGTCTATAAAAGAGGTAATCTCTAAAATATAACCCTTATAGTCATTACTATAAATTTAAATAAAAATTATGGGAGGCCATAGTCTTGTTCTGAGCACCTAGGTTTTAATAGATCAGAACAAAACAAAATGGAGTCATTCATGCTAAATACCACATAGTCAAACTGAAAATTTAAAGAAGCCGATAGATCTCAAAACAGACAAAACTTTCCCTAAAACAGGAGATTCTAGTTCATCTGAATCAGCAAGGCAGTATCTCTTTAACCCTTACAAAAAAGCAATCTGAAGTAACCTGACGTTTACCAGTGTATGGTTTACATATGACATGTCCCCCCCAGGGATAATGTATCAAAAATGTAAGAATATTTAGAGGTGAAATGATTCATTTATGAAAGTCTTAACCTAATCAACGCATTAATTCCCTAATAGGAATTAACTGGGTGGTAACTCTAGGCAGGTGGGTGTGGCCAGAGGACATAGGTCATTGGGAGCATACCTTTAGGGTATATATTTTGTTCTGGTAAGCAGAGGTCTCTGCTTGCTGTTCAACTTTCTGAGCTGCTTTTCTCCACCACATCCTTCTGCCATGATGTTCTGCCTCACTCCAGGCCCAGAGGTAATGAGTTGGCTGTCTATGGACTGAGACCTCTGAAACTGTGAGGGCCAAATAAATTTTTCTTTCTACAAATGTTCTTGTCAGATCTTTTGGTCACAGCAGAGAAAAACAACCAGGTGCAGTGGTGAACACCTGCAATGTCAGCAACTCAGGAGCCTCAGGCAGGAGGACCACAAATTCAAAACCAGCCTTAGCAACTTAATGAGTCTCTGTCTCAAAAAAGGACTGGGGATGTGACTCAGTGGTGTTAAGTACCTCTGGGTTCAATCCCTGGTACCAAAAGAATCCCTCCCCCAAACAAACAAACAAACAAACAAGAAAAAGCCTCTCCACTATTGTGTTAATGCCTAGTGGGACCAATCTATTTTGTAGAATAAGGTGTTGTCCAATTCTAGAATTAGTCCATTTTATGCTTTGAACATAGCCTTTGCTGCTCTGCCAGTGCAATTTATTTTAAAACAGACAAGTTTCTTTCTCTTCCTCTTCCCTTTCCTAATCACAGGGGAAATAGGGTCATCTTTCTCCCCCATCGTAGTCAGAGAACTAAATAACTCAGACTTCAGGGATGGCACCAGAAGATCTCAGCAACAACCATCTCCCAAATTAACAAGTGAATTACAACTCCTGACAAGAGATCACATGAAATGTAGCCTTTGAATCACCTCTTTTAACACCCTCCCCCTCCCCAGGATGGGCAGAATTACAGCCTCTGGGACTGGAGTCCTCTGTTTCTCCTTTGCTAGCAAAGCAATAAAACTTTATTTTCTCTTTTCTCAAAACCGTGTCCTTGTGACTGGACTGGGGACAAGAACTGAGCTTTCAGTAACAGAATTATAAATAAAGGACAATTAGGATCCTTAAATTTGTTGTAATTTTGTCTCTGGACATAAGAAAGTTAGTACTTATTCACAGCTTTATCAATAGACTCTTCCTTTTGTTTATTACACTGACAACCACAAAAACAAATCTTTTCAGCATTTCTTCAGCAGAAACTGCTTAGCTTTCTATATGCTCGTGCGACCATAGTTTCCAGGATGCACCACAGAACAGTGGAACAG